AATGCCTTTGGCTATGTGGTCTTATTGGCTCCCTGTGCTGTTTCACCAAGGGAGGTTGGCAATGGTGTGTCTCAACTTTAGAGTAGAACAAATGAAACCCCTGAGTAAGTGGTCGGTAAGCTAGTAACGGGGTGACCACATTTCAAACAATGTTTGGGGATTTGAACCTGATGATTTTCTCTTGTGACACTGCCAAGCAGACTGAGAAAAGAGGGACAGTTTTATTTCCTTCTCACCATAGAAGTGGTTTAAGGGATACATTTATTTATTTATTTATCTATTGTTTTATTAATTGCAATTTATTCACTTTATATCCCAGCTGTAGCCCCCTCCCTCGTCTCCTCCCAATCCTACCCTTCCTCCCTCTTCTCCTCCCATGCCCCTCCCCCAGTCCACTGATAGGGGAGGTCCTCCTCCACTTCTATCTGAGCCTAGTCTATCAGGTCTCATCAGGACTGGCTGCACTGTCTTCCTCTGTGACCTGGTAAGGCTGCACCCCCCACCCCTCAGGAGGAGGTACTGAAAGAACAGACCACTGAGTTCATGTCAGAGACAGTCCCTGTTCCCATTACTTGGGAACCCAGTTGGACACTGAGCTGCCATGGGCTACATCTGTGCAGGGGTTCTAGGTTATCTCCATGCATGGTGCTTGGTTGGGTAATCAGTCTCAGAAAAGACCCCTGGGCCCAGATTTTTTTCTCCACAAGCTTCTGTCCCTTCCAGGTCTTTTTATCATTCCCTTCTTTCATATGATTCCCTGCTCTGCCCAAAGTTTGGCTCTGAGTCTCAGCTTCTGCTTTGATACCCTTCAGGGTAGAGTCTTTCAGAGGCTCTCTGTGCAGGAGCCTACCACAGAAATTTGTTGATAAGCTAGGGCCAGATGGAAGGGGGGAGGACCTCCCCTATCAGTGGACTTGGAAAGGGGCAGGGTGGGATTGGGACGGAATGAGGGAGGGGGCTACAGCTGGGAAACCAAGTAAGTAACCTGTGATTAATATTAAAAAAATAAAAATTAATTAAGAAAAAAACTAAGGGATACCTTTTAAAGGAAGGAAATTCTGCCACACATACACCTAAGCATTGAATCTATGCAATGGCTTTTAAAAGATGACAGGTCAGAACAATTTTGTCTCACCAGCTCTGGAACAGTGGCTGTTGTTCGGTGATGTCACAATAACATTGTACAATTATGCTACTGAAAGCAATACTCATTACCCAGCTGGAATAAATAGTGGGCTATAATAACATTAACCAAGGATGGATTCTGAAGATTTCTATTGGAGGGGCATAGGCTGAGAAGAGGGAGGGAGGGTGGGACTGGGAGGAGACAAGGGAGGGGCCCACAGCTGGGACACAAAGTGAACGAATTGTAATAAATAATAATAATTAATATAAAAAATGCTGCACACAGAAATTTCTATTGGGAAATGGCTCAGTGGTAGTGTGCCTGCCACCCAAAGGTGAGGATATGAGTGTGAATCCTTAGCATTACATCAAAACAAAACAAAACAAAACACCAGGTGCACCTGCCCACACTTGCAGTTCCAGGCTGGGGAGCAGGAGACAGGCAGATACCTGGAGCTCACTGGCCAGCTGGTCCAGCTGGAACAGTAATGTCAGGATCAGTGAGCAAAAAAGTAAAGAGAACAACCGAGGAAGATATTTGGTACTGATGTCTGGCTCTTACACACCCCACTACACATGTGTGTTTGCCATACATTCATGAGTGTGCACAGCCACATGGATGCAAAAGAATTCTAGCACTGAGGTTGAAAATAGATCCAGTGTTCTCCTCCTCTGCTCGGAAACACCTGGAGGTGAAGTCATTCTTGTCTAGGTGGGCAGAAAACTTAGAAGAATGCTTCCAACTTTTTAGTACCTTATTTATTACTTAAAAGATTTTTTTCACTGTTATGGGCAAGAAGTAGTTAAAAAAAGAAGTGGAGAAAAGCCTTCCTTTGAAGAGCACGTAAGCCAGAATTGCATTTAAAAGTTACAGTAAGGCTGGTACATTCACTAACGAATAAGTTGCTTTGTTTTTGAGACAGGATTTCTCCGTGTAGCCTTGGCTGTCCTTGGCTGACTTTGTAGACCAGGCTGGCCTTGAAATCACAGAGATCCCCTTGCCTCTGCCTACTAGAGTGATGGGATTACAGGTGTGCACCACCATGCTCGGCAGACTAGTCTTTCGGACCCTGTATGTGCTTTATTCTTCTCAGCAACTAAGTAAGATCAGTATGATGCCTATTTTACAGACAAGTCTGAAGCTCAGGGAAATGAGTGCTGTGGGGGTCTATTCAACTCCAAATACTACCTTCTTTCTTACTCCCTAGGAGAAAGGTAGAAACGTTGCAAGGGCTCAGTGGGAGTGAATATAGCCAGACTGTGGTAGGAGCATTTGTGAAAGGACATGGGCTGTAGGAGCAGTTTCATGGGGGGAGGCATCATCAAGCTAGGACTTGAGAGAGTAGAATGTTTGACTGTATAACACACGAGAGAGGTGTTCTAGATGATGAAAGTGGCATGATCAACCACCAGGCAACGATGTGGAGGGAACGAATGAGGGGTGGGTTGGCTGGGATTCAAGGGATAGGAAGAGGCCTGTGGGAAAGAAGAGGAAAGGTGTTATCTCCAGGATAAAGAGTCTTGCATCTAGGAAGCTCCAGGGGAGGTGATTTCAGTGGTGGGATAGCTCACTCAGAGTGAGGGCTTCTGGGTCTGGATTTATTGGCTTATTTAATAATCCATGACTGATGGAGAAGGAGGCTGGAAGTAGGAGCAGAAGAAGGCTGCGGAGGTTCAGTCCGCTGCACCAGGACAAGGAGAGAAAAGCGCCCAGGTTGGTTCTCACAGTTGCTTTGGAGGATGTATTTAGTTAGCAAGGGGTCTGGGGAGGTGGCTTGAGGAGGGGGCTTGGGGAGGTGGAAGATTGCTTGCCTACAGTGTGTAAGGCGCTGCAAAACAAAACAGAGCAACAACAAAACTCTAAACACTAAACCAAACCAAACCAAACCAAACCGCAGAGGCCTATCCAGGAAACCTGGGATTTAGAGCTCTCACACATACCTGCTCTGCTAAATTCAGTGGCACGAGACACTGCCAGACTGTGAATGAAGTGAGCTGAAAGATCTAAAATCAAAGGGTCAACAGGGTTGAGTTTCTCCTGGGGGTTTTCCTAGTTTTTCCAGCTTCCAGAAACCTCAAAACACACCATTCCCACTGGGTTCTTTGGGGCAGCGCACCCGCACCCCAGCTTCTCTGGTTGTCCTCCCCACTTCACATAATGACCCCACGGTTGTGCTGGCTCTACCTAGATAATCTAGCACAGATAATCTCCCTTTCGCAAGATAATCAAATTTAGAAGATTTTTTTAAAAAGTCTCCTCAAAGACTTTTTGGTGGGGTCTACATGAGTATGCCCATAGAAACGTGTAATTTACTCCCTAAAATGGGGTGGAAGGGTTGGGGAGGAAAAGAGTCTCTTGGGTAAGAGGAAAACCAGTGGCAGCCATGCTTCAGTCAACATGGAAAGGGGGTGGGGAGGTAGTGAAATGTCAGGCCTTCTTGTGGAGGGGTATTCACTATGCCCATACTGTTTTACTTACAGCCAGATGCTCTCCTCACAACCCTGTCTGGTAGGTTTTGCCATCGACATAATGGAGACCAGGACGCTAACCCAGAGTCCTTAGGAGTGTCCCCAAAGACTCACAACAGATCATTCTTCTCTCAAGAGTCTTTTGACTCAAAAGCCAGTATGTTCACCAGCAGCCCACGTCGAGGGCGAAGGGAATGATCCTGGCAGACACTGGATTCCAAAAGCATCTGTTTAGAGGATAAATAGAAGGAAGGGAGACCTTGTACATGGTAGCAACTGCTATAGCTCTGATGGGATGGTCCATGGGCAGAGCAGAGAGATGAGTGGGGACAGAACAAGGGTGAGGAGCCTGAGGTGCCCTGGGCAGTGTAGCTTTTGAGACAAGGATGCTAGTTGTTGCTGTTGGACTGGCAATAGCTTTAGTATCTCCTTAAAATTTGTGTTCTGGATACATCACACTTGTGGAGATACTCCTTCTCAGGGTGCAGGTGTGTGCACTGAACTCGGTCGCACTGCTCCATGTTCTGTGCCTGGGTAGCTTGCTTACTCCATTCTGATATACTAGATTGGAGCAGGGTTTAGATAGGGAAGATGACCAGTTAGTTCAGTGGTCTCCTCTCTCGCCCTACATCATAGTCCCCTGGAACCTGCGACAAAAATCTCCCAGATAGGGGGTCCTACATTTGGCCTGTTACATTAAATTCACTCGGGGTGGGTAGGGGAAGGGAAGAGAATGTTAGTATACAGAGTGAAGATGGGTCTGACTGTTAGCGTTTTATGTTTCTTATTGTACTTTGTTCTGACTTATCCAGCTCTCTATTGCCTCCTCCCATTTCCTCTGAGCATTCTCGATAGAGCCCTGCCTTCCCCCCAAATAGGAGAGCTGGAATTTATGAAGTTTCTCAGGTGATGCAGTAGCTAGCTTTTGGGAACTCCACATTAATCCCTCCGGAGAGAGTCCCCCACCCCCAGCCCGGCTGGGAATGTACATAACTCTACCCAAATGAGGCTTTTAAAGTCTGAGCGAATGGCAGCTCCAGTTGAGTTAACTTCATGTTTCTGGGTTTAATTCCTGCCTAGTTAATGAATCAGCTGGCTCCTCCACTCCCTTCCTTTAACTGTGAAGCCTGAAAAATAATTGAATCTAGAGTTTGTCTATAATTCCCGCTTGCTATCAGTGTGCGGGGGGTTCAGGAATGCTGTGAACTCCTGCCCATCTCATTGAGTAATCTGTTTTTCCACTGAAATGGGATATGCCCTGTAAGAAAAAGAAGTTTTCTTTGAGTGTCCTGGCTCTAATGTTAGGCAGCTGTGCGACCTGACACACTCTCTAACTCCGCCTCTTTGTCTCAGTTTTCTTGTCTGCACAGAGAACCAGTCAGGATTCTACCATGCAGCTGTTACTGTGTGTGGGTGTGGGGGCGTGAGCTCACTCTTGCCACAGCTGAAAAACAATTGGTAGGTAAAGGAATGTGTTCAACTTTTAATCATTGCCGAACTCTTTAGCCCGTTGTCAGCCATTTCTGACCTACTGGGAATCTGTTATAGTGTTCCCAGAGCTGGTCAGACAGACACAGTATTGTGGAGACATTTTAGAAAATGCACATTTCTGGGCATTAGCACCTGCTGTCAAGCTTGATGATCTGAGTTTGATCCCTAGGACGCACATGGTGGAAGGAGAAAAATGACTTCCACAGGTTGTCTTCTGACTTCCACATTTGTGCTTTGGCATGCTACACACACACACACACACACACACACACACACACACACGCACAGAGAGATTAAAATATAGACTCTGCCAGTTGCACAACTGAACCAGAAGAGCTAGAGGTGCAGCAGAGCCTAATCCAAAGGCAATGCTGAGGCTTGAGCTCCCCAGTATAAACTGCTCACTGAAAAGATCTCCAGGTATTAACCCAAACAAGTGCCCAAACCAACTGATGCACAAATCTCAACATAGAAACAGAAGCAGCATGATGAGACAAGCCGTGTGGCTGCTCTAAAAGATGAGCACTCCTTCACCAGGGCTTTAAAAATACAAATGTGGGTAAAATGCCAGATAAAGAATCTAGAAGTGCACATATAAAAACAGCCCAGAGGTTACAAAATGGGCAGATAAATAAGCTTAAGGAAATCAGTCCAGGACCCTCAGAAGGGACAAAGAGGTAAGCGCGGTTCCCGGAGGGCAGGGTAAAATGGAGCCACCATGCGGAGCTGGCTCCTTCCACCCTAGTGGAATAGTGTTCGTCTTCGCAACTGGATATTCAGCGGAGGCCTTTCTGCTGCGAGGGAGACAGCAGGGTTTTGATTCGCTCACTCCAGCCTCAGCTTTCCTTGCACACCTGTGGGTTAATCACTCACCCTTCAATCCACTGTGCGTTAGGAAGCAGCAGCTTTAGGCACGATAGGGCGCGCAAGTGTTACTACCGGGGACGAGAGATCACTGACCGGAACTTGCTTTTATTTTTATTGTATTTCTAGAAGAGCACCATTCCCTCCAACTCAGACATACTTGATTTTGTTCTTCTTCTATTGCCCAGCGGGTTTCCCCCTCCTTTTTCATAGCTTTCATCCTTGATGTCACGGGACTGTCAGAACAATTTGCTTTTCTTCCGAAAACCTCATCATGTGAGAGTCACTGCTAACATGAGTTTCCCTCCCCTTTCTTGGGGCTCGAGGCCTTATCTGATACGCCAACAGCTTTGCAGGAAAACGGAAGGTGGGGTCTGGCTCCCTTTGTGTGACACAGCATGATGGGAAAGAGATTCTATAATTACCCGGGTTTTAACTTGAGTTTTTGTCAGCAAGGTGACTGAGGTCGGGGCTGCAAATCCAGCCTTCCTCTTCGCAATCAGCAAAAGCAAGTGCTGTAATGGTCTCTCTCTCCAACTTAATTTTTGGACAATGACAGGAGGAGCACTCACTTTTATGTATGAGCTATTGCAGGGATGACACATAGGAAATGTCAAACAGTCTGCATTCAAAGCTCCCCAGTTTCCCTTCTGTGTTGCTGTTCCTAGGACTTTGCATGTGCCCTAATTTGGTTTCTGCTGTGTGAACAAAAGCAACTCTGGGAAGAAAAGATTTATTTGGTTTACGTCATGATCACAATTCATCATTGAGGGGAGTCAGAACAGGAGCATGGAGGCAGGAGCTGATGCAGAGAGCCTGGGGGAGTGCTACTTACTGGCCTGCAGTTCTTGCTCATCCTGCTTTCTTATAGAACCCAGGGCCACCTGTATGTATGTGTGTGGGCAGTTCTGTGGCATGGTTCACAGTGGGATGGGCCTTCCTACATAAATAATTAATTAAGAAAATGCTCCTGTAGCCATGTCCACAGGCCAACGGAAGCAAGTTCTCAAAGCTCCTGCCTCCCAGGTGACTCTAGTTTGTGTCAAGTTTACAAAACAAACCATCATATTATGTATCATGTGTCATGGCCTACATCCTTACCAGGGCTTTTTAATAATCTCCTCCAAAGAAAGGAGTTGTAGGACTCGCTTGCCCTACACAAGATTCTTAGACAGGAGTCTTAGACAAGTCATATGACGTTCAAACCACAGTACAACCCCAGAGCTAGAATCCAGGACAACACCGACTTCAATTCTCACTCCTGGCTCCTAAAGCTACGTTTGCATGAAGTAGAAGCTCCACCCCCTCCACCTGGATTTCTTTAATTTCTACAAATACTTTCATCCCTACTGGAGTACACAAATCTCTTAGAAACCCAGCCTTTACCTCATGGTAGCTGGGTGCCAAATGAGTAGAGCGGAGTTTGCGGTGGACTGATGTCTGGTGTGAGAGTCTTGAGTCAGGTGCTAATAGGACATGCCAGAGAATGCCAACCTGCCTTAGAGCTAGAGAAGGTATCTGGTACAGTAAGTAGCAGTTAAGTCAGGACCTGGAAGGACAGAATAGCTTATGCAAAGATCCAATGACAAGAGGAACTACAGGTGTTCAGCAAGGCTGTTATGAAGGGAAAGAGCTTGAGAAAGAAACAAGTGTGGGTTTCCAGGCCATGATAAGGACTTTTCACTTCAGCTATTGGGCCATGAAAAGAAGGCAAAGGGTTTTCAGCTTAGCATAAGTTTTGGTTGGGTCTGAGAATAGAACAATCACTTAGCATCATGCAAAACGTGGATGGGAGGCTGAACACAGGGCTATTTCTGCTCACCGCTGGGATACTTCTGTGAATCAGTTACCTCCATGAATAGAGAAATATTATTTTTTTTACTTCTCCTCCCTACAGAGATCATTACCCTTCTCCTTACAGGGAGGGTGTGGGAAGAGTGCCAGGCACTTTAGAGGGCATAACGCCTTACAGCTGTGGGCCGCTGGTTCCTTTATGCTTAACAAGAGAATGACGGGGGCTGGAGAGATGGCTCCACAGTTAAGGGCACTGACAGCTCAGAGGACCCAGGTTCAAATCCTAGCATCCACATGGCAGCTCACAACTGTCTGTGACTCCAAGATCCAAAACCCACACAGACAAACATGCAGGCAAAACACCAACGCGTATGAAATAAAATTTAAAAAGAGAGAAGAGAATGTGGTCCACTTCATCTTGCCACCTCATTTTGAGGAGTCCGTGCAGGAGTAGGCACTGAATGAGAGGCCAACAGCAGGGCGATCTATTCTGTCAAAGCAATTGGCAAATGCCAGTCTCACTCGATGGCAAAAGCGTTCTTTGGGCTTGCTCACTTTGTTTGTAAAGGCAGAGGACCTACCTCAGCATCATTCTGTGTGGAAGCAGAATGAGCAGCAGGTGTGTTGGAGGCGCCAGGAAGCACCGATTCCCTTCTCCCTCTTCCTGCCCCTCCTTAGTTCCATCTCAGACTGAGAACCAGACCTGCAACAGTCCTTACAACAACCAATGCAGCCTGGCCCACTTCCTCTTTGACTTGCTCTTCCTGTTATCCTGGCTTATTCTGTGGTGCCCTGGCCTTAGCCAATGTGTGGTTGTCACTCCCACCTCAGGGTGCTCTGATATCTTTATGGTATATCTCTTCATCTTTCTCAAGTTTTTTTTTTTTTGTTGTTGTTTTTTCCAAATGTCATGTCAGTGAGGCCTACCCTGAGCAACTCTCCTTTCTCTCACATGATAATTCGGCCTCCTTTTCATCTTTTTCTTCCATAGCACTTGTCACCTTCCTACATGATACATAGTTTAATTATTTAGACCTTAAATTATTTTTTTTTAAGAATGACTGACTTGTATTATTTAATTTGATCAGACTCTTGTCAGGAAGCGCTTTCTGCCTTGCTCTTTGTCACCTTTGTAGTGTGCAGAAGAGTGCCAGGCTCCCAGTTGGCTGAGGAATGATTGAAGCAGTCACCTAGATCCTAGGTAAATGCCACTTGAAATGGTGGGAACAGGCAAGGGTGTGGTACTGAGGAGTCTCAATGGCCCTCTGGGCAGCTTCTTCCAATTGGACTGGATGGAGGCTTCTTACTACCCATCTAGGAAAGGGTTCCAACCCCGTGCTGTGTCAGAAGAATCAGAAAATTACTCTGTCTTGCTAACAGCCTTCCATAAGAGGTGCTTTTGTTTTAACCCTTAAATATCCTTACACATATGCACTGGTTAGCTTGCACTCCTCCCCCTCCCCCGCCTTGGAGCTGTGGAAGCATTTCTGCCTGCGGCAGCCCTTCCCATTCCTACTGTGAAACCACTGAAACTGTTTTTCTCATCCTGTCCCAACTCCTTGAACTTGGAAGCAACCTCTTCCTGAACCAGATGGCAGCACAAGGAAGGCTTCTCCGAGGACACAGTTTGGACACAGTCTAAGTCTCCATTTCCTTGCCAACCTTTGGGATGCAAGGAAGTTGCTGTGTGGGAAGAAAGGAAAGAACTGAGATGGCCGTATCTTCCTGACAGTGTGTGTAGGAATTGACTGATTGACTGCCTGATTCATGCACCATAGTTATTCACATTCAGAGACCCACAGTGAAACAGGGGCCTGCAAGCAATTAAGCACGTGGCCTTGAGTGTCTGTTCTACACATGCAGCTCCAGACTTGTTAAAAGACCCATCTATCTCTAAAGTCTTGCCTTGTGGCATTCTTCAGGTTTCACCCATCTATGGGATGCCTGTAGGAAAATAGGATTCTTACCTCTCTTGTGACTCGGAAGTGCTGACTTGGGATGATGAGATGTTTTGAAACTAGCTTTCTTCCTTTCCCCGGTTTATATGTACATACCAGTAAGTGTTCAGAAATGAAGAAAGACAAGCTTCATTCCCGGCCCAGTGAAGGTCAGAGGGGCAGCTGAGCTATTTTAGTTCTGCCCAGGGTGAGTTCTGCTGCATTGCAGAAGTCAGACCCACACCGGTGGAATGTTCCCCCCTGCGCAGCAGCAAGCACTTAGGATCTCTATTTCCCAAATTTCCTTGACCCCCTCAGTTGCCTCACCCTGATCCTGCTGAATTCTAGCATCACTTTTTAGCCTGGAATTTCTCCACTGCTTAGGGTGGATTGTTAAGCAGTGACAGGCCTCTTTGTATGACCCTCTCTCCGTGGTGTAGAATTGGGTAGAAACATTGACACTTTGACCGTGAGCTCAGGAAGCCGGCAGAACTGGTTTGATCAGCTCAAAAACCAACACCAATGGTCATTTTACGATGCACCACTGAGCAGTGCTGACAGGAATTGCTTCTTCTCATTGACTGGTGTTTGTTGTCTCATGGTCTTCCAGGTTAGGGATGCACTAACAGGACTGTCTCTAAAGATGGCGGTGAGCGTGGCGAGACTGTGTCGAAGGCTGGTCCAGAGAGTGTGCACCCAAGAAATGCTGCTGGAGACACAAGCAAGGAATGTGACTTCCTCCTGAGACCTGCTCATCATCCCATAGACCACGACTACCTCGAGGGACCTTCCTCTTAGGATTTTGATGTCATCTGCCTAAAACTTTTGCAGAGCGCAGACAAATACTTTTTCCACTAAATAAGATAATATTTCATTTTGGCATCCTATAATCATCCTGGTTGCAGTCTTAGCTGTTTTCCCCTGGGGATCCCAAGCCACATTTGTTACCATTGTTATTTTTGTGTACTCCTCACTCCAAAATGATTGACTTAAGCTTCTTGACAGAGGAGGAACAAGATGCTATTTTAAAGGTTCTGCAACGGGATGCTGCCCTGAAGAGGGCTGAAGAGGAGAGGGTCAGGTAAGAGGCCAGAAGAGTACTCGGGTGCGAGGGAAAGAGCTGATCCACAGAAAATAAGGCTCTTTTCTTTTTGGGCATAACTGGGGGTTTGTCTTGCAGCCTAAACTTATCCATTCCAATTTTAGGTTAACTTCCTGGACAGGACCTTTTCTCCTGATGTTTCTTAATTTATCTCTTATATGCCGGCCAGAAATAGGGTCTCAGTTAAAAACTTTAGCTGGGCATGTTGCATGAACCTGTAGTTCGAGCTACTCAGGAGGGGGTGGAAGGACCACTTTAGCTCACAGTTTGAGATCAGTGTGGGTAATACGGTAAGATCCTGCCCCTCAAAACGGAAATGCACCTCCATATGCCTTTGATTCAGTTTTTAAATGAGGCATAGAACTAGGCATGATGGCTCATGTCTGTCTGTAGTGCCAGAGTTTGAGAGGTTGTGTCAGGAGGATTGTCTGGCATTCAAGGCTAGCCTGGATGATCACAGAAAACCCCATCTCTTAAACAAACAAACAAACAAACAAAACAGCAAACGAACTAACAGAAAAGGTACTGGAGAGGTAGTTCAGTCAGGCCAGTGCTTGCCACCTAAGCACAATGACCTGCCAGGCATGGCCACGTGTACCTAGAATCCTCTTGCTGGGAAGGCAGACACTGAGGATCTCTGAGGCTTCCTGGCTAGCCAGCCCAGCTGAATAGGTGGGTGCCAGGTTCAGTGAGAAAACAAGATAGGATGGAGAGAACTTGAGGATGGATACCTGCTGTCAACCTTTGTTCTCCACATGCTCCTGCACAATGTGCCCTAGCCACTCCCGCCCCCAATACCACATATAAAATTTAAAAAACAAAAAAGGAACTCTAGCTGGTAGTTGAGTGGTGTGTGTGTGTGTATGTGTGTGTGTGTGTGTGTGTGTGTATAGGAAAGGGTGAGGGAGGAGGAAAAGAAAGATTGAGATTAAGACAGTGTTGCTGTAAATTCTAGTCTGGCCTCAGGCTCAAGATCTTCCTGCCTCAGACTCATGAGCAGGGAGGGGTCTTACAGGCATGCATTACTATGCCCATCTAACTCTGTATATATTTTTATATTCGCTTTGCTCTCTTGTGTTTTATTTTTTTTTAAAAGAATCATGACCTAAGTTAAATTTTAATTCCTAACAGTTAAAAAATAAGAGAAGTACTTTACAGTGGTGAATACTTTCAGAGCTTCCAGCGTTGGTTATAAGAGAAAAATTAAAAGTGCTCTCCAAACAGGTGAAGCTTGCATTTGACTTGGGTCCTTGAAAGAAAAGTGTCAACTTGACCTACTGTCCTTTTTGAATGGAACCCAAACATTCCCTGACCACATTGCTACCACTTTCACCCATCTCCACAGCAGAAAGTACATTTAGAGCATGATGCTGAATGACAGGACTTAATTAGTCACTGTCCCTTCTAGGGCCTGGGCCCTGCCACCTACTGTCTCTGTAATCATGGGTTTTGAAAGCAGTGAAAGAGTTCCTGAATGTAAGTTAGCAGTATTAGCTTACTGGTTTCCATTCCAGTTTTCCGGAAGGAATAATAAGCCATGCTCTTACTTCCTGGAACACCAGGACTACAAATAATAGATTTATTTGACTAAACATGAATGCTTTATAAAAACAACTCAATTCAAACATTATAGCATGCCTGGTTATTGCTACTGAGGACAGTAAATAAACAGTGTTCATCAAGGTAAAGGGGCTTAATATGCTCATTATTTCTCACGACTGTCCACTCCTTCATGCAGCCGAGCAATGGCGTGTGAGTGATGACCCTAGTTTACTGCATGTGGGAATTTACTTTGTGACAGGTGGGTGACTCTGCAGTAGTGCCCTGTGTCCTTTGGCAGACTCTTCTTGGGTCTGCTGTTCCGGAGGGACCTCGTATGTTTCTCACGGTTCCTGGCACTGCTGTTTTATTGCTGTTGTAAACACACGATAGGAAGAAGCCTAGAGGTGGCAAAAGATAAAAAAAATCTTGTGTCAGCCCTAGATACTAACACTTCTTGGACATCTTTCTAAGTAGACACCAAAAATTTCTCATGGACTTGATCACAGAGGGGGCCAGGACCTTAGGACTAGTGACAGTGAGCACTAGAAAGGGCAGATGGTCACAGGAGTGTGGGCACTACTGAAAAAGCCTCGTTTGATGTGCTCCACACAAGAAGATTCTTGCTCTGCAAGCCATTTGCTCCAAAGCAAAGGGATTTGTAGGGATGACTGTGACTCTGTCCTGTTTCTGGCCCAGGCTCGTTCTCTAGCTTCTAAAAATGATCCTTTTTGGGCTTTGGCTTAACAGCTCCTTCGTAATCCTTCACAGTTTACCTTTCCTCTTCAACCAGTCATGGCTTGACAGCTCTGGCAAGACTTGTTGATCTGCCTCAGTCATTTTACAGACAGATAGGATGGCAAAGGAGGGAGAGAGTTGAGAACGTCCCTCCAGAACTGAGCAATGACAGTTTAGAAATGACACGTGGACCTTGGAGTCATATCCCATCACCAGTAGTTAATCATCTGTGGTTCATGAGGGCAAGTCACTTAACCTTCTTTCTGAGGCTCAGGACCTACAATGACAAGGTCCTGAGGAGGCCAGGGTTGAAAAAGTGCTTCTGAATCTTCCTGGCATGCAAAGGTGATGGGTACATCTGAATCCTTTTTCCCACCACACAGCTTGTGCCTCTCAAGGAGTACAGAGGATGCTGGTTAATAGCTTGATCCTTCCCCAAGCCTCAACTATTTTTAATACAGCAAAATTTAATTGCATATTTTATAAATGAAGAAACTACCCTGGAGAGTGATGTGAATGGTATCCGAAGGATGTTGAAAACATGGCCCCAGCCCTTCAGTGATTTACCATCCTATGGCTGCCTATGTCAATTTAAAGAATTATCAATTGGAAATTTGAAAAAAGTTTAAATTTTGTTCACCATGGTTTTTTTTTTTCATCATGTTAAAAACATGGTTTTACAGCTTCATTTGTCTTTCTTGTTGTCTAAGAGAGACCAGTGATGTATTAATTATAGTTAGCATCATTAGAAAAGTAAACTTGCCACTACTATCTATTCTGTAAGTATGTGGTGTGTGTGTGTGTGTGTGTGTGTGTGTGTGTGTGTGTGTGTGTGTGGTGTGGTGTGTGTGTGTGTGTGTGTGTGTGTGTGTGTGTGTGTGTGTTTGTGTGAATGAAGGCATGTGTGTGTCATGGTATTGCCTTGAGGAAAACCTTCAGTATTGCCCCTCCACTTCGGTTTGTTTTGAGACACGGTCTCTTTTGTGGTTCGCCACGGCAGCTGTCGGGCTAGGTGTCCTGTGAGTGATTCTCCTGTCTTTGCCTCCCATCTTGCAGTAGAAATACAGAGCATGGAGATACGTGCTTCTGGACCCAGTTTTGTGTTGGTTCTGAGGGTTGAAGTCAGATCCCCGTGCTTGTATGGAAAGTGCTTTTCTCACTGAGCCATCTCTCCAGCCCTTTCCCATTCCTCTTTTGTAGCCCTGGCTGGCTTCAAATGGTGGTGATCCTTCTGCCTCAGCTTCTCCTGAGCTGGGATCCCAGTTGTGAATGACTTTCGTATGTTAACCCTTTATGGCATTGGACATGCAACCCATCCCACCCCACAGCCATGGGTACATCAGTGTAGGACTTTTACATCATCTACAAGGCCAGGCGCTGATTCAGAATCCTGGCCGGCGGGGCTATGTGGACAGGTTTACATTCTTACTGAAACAGGTTTGTTACTTTTCATGCATCTAATGCTTTGAGTTGTTCATGTCCAAATTTGTGCAAGACACTTTGGAGATGACGAAGGTTGCATGCTGCCTCCACACTGACTTGATGGATAATAACAATGAGCATCATGCAGGAGACCCGCCCAGGTCCTGAACTGCTCAAGCTTATATAGTGTTAGAAAATGGACTTGGACCCAGGGCAATATCCCCACAGGGTTGCATGTGGGAAGGTAGCCGCTCCAGGCCATTCTTCGTGCCACATCTGTCTTCTGTGCTATTTCTACCCCAGTCATAAGCATTGGGCTCAAGTTACTGGCATCTTGTGTCCCTAACTCCTGAGTGGAGATAGTTGATAGGTTGGCAGAGAGGCAGACATCAAGATAGATGTTTTTCTCTTTCACCCGGCCCTCTGTCCGCCTCTTCCACTCTTGAGGGGAGCATTACTATACATACACATGTGTAATTTTAGACTTCGATGGTTTGAAAATGACACACTGCTGAAGTGGCGTTTCCTGTGCCTTGCGTCACCCTGCCAGCAGGAAATTGCTGCACATGTCTACACCACGCCAGCACCACGTCCCGACCCCAACAGGCACACGACCACATCTACAGCGATGGGCGGTTTTTTTGCAGGTTTCTCAACCGCCACCACATCTTATGAGTCTCAGCTGCCTCTTTAGGATGCTGCTTCGTTTCAAATGAAGGCGGTTCTCATCGAGAAACAGGCTTCCGGGACTTCTGGTGGCGTTTTTCATGAAAGCAAAGCAGAGGGGAACCCGTGTTTGTCCCGGGCTGCGGCATCCAGGAGCCCTTCTCACGTGTTTTCTTTTCTTCTCAGAACAGTGTAGTACAACCCCCTTCACCAGATGGGGAGACAGAGTGGAAGCGAGCAAGCAGCCTGCAAGATGACAGTTTTGCTGATCCAACAGCAAAGCTCATGTGCTTTTCCACTCTGTGCTGGATCTCAGCAGACTGTGGGGCTCTGTGATGTGCCCGCGTCCACTCAAAATGAATTTCTTTTTTAAGGGCCATTTCAATTCACTTTTCTTTCTAGGTCTGTTGGTTTCCAAATTCTTCATCAATGCTTGAGTCCCTTGCTAGAAAGAATGAACCTTAGAATCCAAAGTCTTGCTAGGCTTTCCTGGACAGGAAGGGAGAGCTGAGAGTCAAGCTAACTTCTGGGCCTGGCTCTGTGTTACCCTGGCCAAGTCTCTTCACTTCTCTGGGCCTGAATTATCTTATTTAGAAAATGAGACCACTTTTAAGCCACACAATCTTGTTGTCATCTTTCTCAGAATATAATGTGAAGTAGGAAAGGGAGAGGGAGGGAGAGAGGGAAGGAAAAAGGAGGGAGAGGGGGAGGGAAGAGGCAGACCGACAGACAGACTATGGAGAATGAATCCGAGCATCTCATCTCCTTGACCAGTCTGTGGAGCTTTCCCACTCACATCTGAGTAGGTGGTGTTGGTCACGTCTGCGATGTCAGGCCTTTGTGGCTCATGTTAAGGAGCTGGAAGTTGTAGGGCAGGTATGCACACAGTGAAAAGGAGGTGGGCTGAGGACAACTTTGAATCCAGTTTGCAAAATACCACTGTTCTTGTTTTTCTCTGTGTACTCCCTATGTACTGAAAAAAAAAAATGAACACTGGCTATCAGGCCCAATCACTGTAGACTGGGTTCTATGTGTAACTCCAAGAATATTCCTGGTATATATGTTAGGAAATTACTGGACGACTAAGTAAACAAATGATCAGAAAAGGCTTAGACATGGCATTTAGCATACAGAGCAGGGACAATGGCCAACTTTTGCTGTTGATTAAGGTTTTTTTTTTTTTTTTTGGTAGCAAAATCACAAGGATGAAATGATGTGCTGAGGTTAAAAGCCAAGCATGCCCTCGCCCGAGCAGAGACTGTGCAGAAGTTAGTGGGTAGAGTGGAGGACTGCTCGTGGGCACGACTCCCACAGCCTGTGCTGTTTGTGCACTCATCAGGCCTTGCAGCCCATTATTAAGCTGAGAGGAGATCAAGGTCACAGAGACCTCCCAAGGCTTTGCTGCAAAGTACTTTGCAGTTAACTAAACAACTGGATGCTGGGTCTGAAGGGCGGACAGCACAGTGGCCTTCCTGGGCTGAGTGATGTTCTCCTGCCCACCCGCCCACTGGCATTCACCTAGGCATCTCCTTTCTGCTAATGTGCATGTGTACAGAGTGTGGTGAAATTCGAACACTGTCAGTGCCAAGAAAGCTACTCTTTCCCCCTGTAAGGAGATGGTACAACAACTGGAAAGTCCAGGGATAAAATGGTTCATTCAATCACAGGTCAGAAGAAAGGAAAAATAACAGAGCTATATAAATAGAATATTTTAGCACCATCTCAGTGGGGTTTTTCAAACGATTGACATCTTTATGAACTTAATCTTTGATGTCATGCATACGGAGTCATCTACAGAATATTATAAGTGACCAAGATAGAAAAACAAAGAACAGTGGTTATCAAAGCCAGCAGCAATAATCATGTTAAGAAATACAAAAGTGGCCCTCACGAAATGTGAAATATTTCTTATGCTTTTGCCACTTTCAAACAAAAGAGCCAGAAATCCTGTCCTTACCACAATGCTTACCCACCTCTTCTGGGACCCTGTGTCTTCATGGGCACGACTCAGCCTCTGGGCTATTTGTGTACTCATCAGGGCCTTGCAGGCAGTTATGAAGTTGAGAGAAGACCAAGGTTGCAAAGACCTTCAGAGACTCCACTGAAAGGTAATTTTCAGTTAACAAACAACAATCTCATGAAGAGAAACCTGAGCCCCTGTGCTGGGAGGGTTTGTTGTGTGCTGACAGGTGACCGAATTTCATGTGTGTTTTCCTGTTCTGATGAGAGATGAACAGTCCTACCTCATCAGAAAATCCGGCCACTGTGTTGGGATATGGTCCACTGAAACTTGGCAGCGATGGGATCTTCATTATCTCTTCTCTTACTCAGACTGTAGTGGCTGTTGGGCACTTTCAGTTGCTCAGTGGCATACTCACTCAACAAACAGTTGCTGGGTATCAACCCTGAGCCAGTCCCCATGATTCATAGTGGGGCTATCAACATGATAATGATGTAATCCTTGTCTTCAAGGGGTTTGTAGCCTCCACAAATGACTGAGTGAAACAAATGTGTAAACAGAGCCTTGGGTACTGTGTGAATGCTGGAGGTATTGTGGGAACAAGAAAAAGTGTGTCTCTGTGATGCTCAGACTGCAGAAGCAGCAGGAGGAGGAATACCCTGGACAGAGGTCACTGTCAAATTTACAAGAGCTGGGCTGAGTACTTCCAGGCAAGCATGTCAATGAATTATCTCAGAAGTCTTTAAGAGTAGGGCTTATTCCCCCAATACATGCAGAATGGTGTCCACCTGTCCACTGTTCTGTTTAGGCAGAGTTCAGGCTAAGCTCTGGTTCTATTTGGGAGAGCCTCAGCCCATCGTCTTTCAGTCATCCCTTCCTACCCCTAACACCTACAGGTCACAGGAGAGTAGCGTTGAGAAGAACAAGAAGTTGAGTGTGGTTTTGGGAATGTCTTCTGGGAAATGAACCCAAAACGTCCTTCTGAAGCCAGGTGGTCATATGGCATTCCTTTACTCTGCCAGCACACTGTTTCTAAGTCACTAAGCGAATATATATGGAATGAAGGCCCTCCTTTCAGGAGCCCAGTCTGACCATGGAGAGGTGGAATTTTTTTTTCCTTCTGGAATTGGACAGAAGGCCTTGTTCCTATTGGAAGGACAAAAATTAAGAACAAGAGCTAGCAGCTCAGCAGGGACTTTCTGCTTGGTCAAAAGCCTCTGGCAATGAGCGGCTATCAGAAGCATTTAATAAGAACCATAATCCTTTGGTGACTCAGGGCTGTGAACCAATGATGCTGTGCCTGTCAGGATTTGTAGATAGGCTGTCATGAAAATGTGTGGCTAAGGACTGTGATAAGCACTTCAGGGCAGAATCGCCTTTTTGCGAGTGATCAGGAGAGGGGAGGGGATTCTGGTGGAATTTCTATGTGACAGACAAAGAACCACTTTCCTCAAGCATACTTATGAAAGGGGCTATCCTTGCTAGGCCCTCCAGCTCCATCCCCATTTTCCAATGTACCTGCACTGTCCTCATCCCAGCCTGGCCACCACAATGGCCCATTCACGTTCTCTGACTAATGCAGACTTGTACATAGATAAGGGGCATCTAAGCTTGAAGGAAAATCGTAAACCTACTTGAATTTGTGCAACACATTATCTTTCGGAGTTCAAAGTTTCTCAAGGGCTTTTATTGAATTTTACTCTGAGCGTATTCCTATGAGGAAGAAAAGCTCAGTTTGGAAACCTCATTTGATTGACTGGAAGGATATGGAGGTTAAAAGGTTCGTTGATGAGAACATTTTTCCAACCAGTATACAAATAGGGATGTTTTAGGAGGGCCTCAGTTAGTTTGCTCTTTAGGTTTTAGTTATCCGGTGAGTATGAATGATTACGGAAGCTTTAAGCAATCTCTGTACCTTCTCATTTTAGCCTGTCTCAGCCCATGGAATTTCATGACCCCTCTATTCCCAGCCTTCCTGGAAAATCTCCGATAAGGTCATTTCACTGAAAAGGGAAGAACAAAGGGATTGCCTCTCACACACTAGTTGTCCAGTGAATGCTTAGACACCGTCCAGCAGGTCCAAGCGTGGTTTTATTTGGTTTAATTTAATTCTCAGAGAAACCCTGTGAGGTGGGGTAGCTAGCTAGCTACCCCATTTTGTAAATAAGGAAAATAGCCAGGGATGCTTTCTCCATTTTTTTTTCTCTCTGGTATGCCTGTTTGAAGAAGTGAATCTGCTCTTGAGAGATGTCAGGCAGAGTGGTTAAAAGCACCTGATGCTCTTGCAGAGGACCTGGGTTCAAATCCCAGCACCTACAACACACAAGTGTCTGTAAGTCCAGTTCTAGAGAGATCTGATATTCTCTCCTAGCATCTGTGGACATCTATCTTACACTCAAAACATTCACACATATAAAATAAAAATAAATAAAATGTTAAAGAAACATGGTTGGCCTATATGATTAGTTGTTTTTTTTGTTTGTTTGTTTTGTTTTGTGTTTTTTTTTTTGTTTTTGTTTTTGTTTTTAAGCCAAAGCAGAGCGTTTGTAAGTCATCTGGGAGGAATGTAGCACATAGATTAGTAAGAGTTTCATTTTGCCTGTGTATTTACAAATTTCTTCACAGTGTCACACAGAGATTCCCATCAAAGTCAAGTTCTTTTCCTTTTGTAGACACTTGCCTGAAAAAATTAAGGATGACAAACAGCTAAAGAATATGAGTGGCCAGTGGTTTTATGAAGCCAAGGCAAAAAGACACCGGGACAAGATCCATGGCGCTGACATCATCAGAGCATCCATGCGAAGGAAGAGGCTCCCCGTGGCAGGTGAGGTCACAGCCAATGTTTGTTTAGGAAGGGGGGAGGGGAAGCGGGTGAGACTCCTCACTGAAATCTGCTGAAGGGAGTCAGTCTCTGGAAGGCTTTGTTAGTGTACTGCCTTCTCGCTCAACGTCCTCTCGTCTTGAATTCGGATGGATGATGACGGGACTAAGATGGCTGGCTATAGAGGAAGACAATTCCAATTCTTTGGGCATCACATTTAAATGTGATGATGAGGACTGCGCACGCCTTTCTTTGGCTGTGTGTGTGTGCGCGCGCACATGGGTTTGCATAGATACACCTGCGGGTATACATACATGTGTGCCAAGGCCAGAAGTCATCCCCTGGTAGCTCTTTAAACGTTGGTGCTGGGCATCAGACCCAGGTCCTGGTGTCTGCATGGAAAACACTTTAGCAGCTGAATCACCTCCCCAGCTCCTTCTTTGGCTTCGAATTCCGGAAATTCAAAATTCTCTGAGTAGCACAAAAGATTCAGACAGAAATCAGGTTTCATATTCAACAATCTTGACATGTGGTTCTTTAATCCGCCAAACACATTACTTAAAGGACTATAAAAGTTCACTTAGAATTCTTTTTATTTCACCGCTTCATTTTGCCTGCATGTTTATAAATTTCTATCCAACTAATTTCTATTCAACTCAAGATCAGCCATTGTAAACATCTAGGTATAGCTGATACACACAAAAAATAAATGCTTTATCTTTAAAGCATTTAATGTATAACAAATGTTAATGATTTGTTTTTTAACTCTAGCAGCAATTTTATAAGGTCTACTTTTTCTGTAAACTTTATCAGGCAACTTGGGTTAACTTTCCCAAGGTTATGATGACATACAATTGCTAAATGGAGGAGCTGGGATTTCAAATTTTTTGACTGTGTCACACTGCAGTTAAGGGTTGACCTCTAAGTGTGGAAAGTGCCTGCCTACAGTTCTCTTGGTTTTCAAGCATACTCAGGCTGTGTGGTGCTGGTCGTTACTGTGGGCTCCATTTGTGATCAGAGATGCTAGACAGACGTATGGCAAGACCAGTAGCATACAAATTCCACCACGGAAAGCATTTAGAAGTTGGAGCCCCAGTGTTGCCCCATCTTAACGCTGATGGAAGTATCCTAGACATACAATGCGGCCGTAGGTAATAGTCTTGAGTTTTTTGATTTTCAGTTTACAAATTTACAAACTTGGAAAATACCTCTCACCATATAGCATACTGTTCACAAAGAACTCAGCGTAGTTCTTGGTCATTAATCACCAGTCAGTTGATGCTAGTTGTTACAGAGATTCAGAGAATGCTGAGTGTCAAGAGGGAGAAAAGGTTCCTGAAGATACAGCATAGAGGTTTTATGAGGACCATGACACCTGGGCTGTGTGTTGTGGAGAATTTAGAATTTGGATTTATAGAGAGGCTATGGGGTAGGAAAGGCACCAGAGTGGAGTGGGACATCCTGAATTAGGATCATTCATCTATCTTTGTGCTCAGAGTCACGTGTTATGTTTGGCCTGTTAGAGGCATTTAGTAAATCAGGATCTCAATGATTACTCCCACTCTGATGTCACTTGGCTAAGTATATCCAGTCCTGGCTCTAATTCAGGTCAGTTAGAACTTGGCTTTCATGGTCTCTGATGTACCTGTACATTTAAAGGCATTCCTATCCTTTCACAGTAGACTGGGAAGCAGGCATCTGAAGTCAGGGACCATACTGACTTCTTTCATAGCTATACTTTTGGTCCTGAGACCCAGTGGTCATCTTGGTACTTGGAAGGCCCGAGGTTCGGGTTTGAGCCCTTACTGATAGGAGCCAATAAGAAGGGTGGAGATTGTAGAAGTGAGAGATAACCTTTCTGTCTTTATTGTTCCCTGTTTCAGCTGAGCAGAATAAGGACACAGCAATGAGGGCAAAGGAGAGCTGGGTAAATAATGTCAACAAAGATGCTTTCCTTCCCCCAGATCTAGCTGTTGTGGAAGAGCCAGAAGACGACACAGCTCCAGCAGGACCAAGGTGAGACACAACTTGTGAGTTTCGTGGCTTGCTGTGCTATGCAGGCAAATGTGGGCTTGAGGTTCAAGTGCAGGAGCAGAGTCACGGGTGTGAGGATGGGTAACATTTGGGGGGAAATTCTTGGCTCCAGTGGGAATGGAATCTGTCCAAGAATTTTTCCTACCCGCCAGGATTTCCAATAAATCTCAACCCTGGAGTCAAACTATTGAATGGTTGTTTCTTCCAGGTTCAGGAGTGGTAGGTTTCTATTTGTACTGAAGATTGTCTTAGGGTAGGGTAAAGAGGTCCGGGGGGTGCTACAGTTCATTTCAGGGGACAGATGGATCGTAATCAGGCTGTTATATCTGGTGCAGCAGGAGAGACAGGAAGGATAAAGACTGGCCAGAAGTTGTTCTAATGTCTGCAGGACAGTGGGCATGTAGCAGACAGCAAGTATTTCTTTAAAATGCCACCTCCTCTATATTCTGGTTTTGAACTTGGATGCTTTCACCTGGTATTTGTATGCCTTTTCCATGAAGTAGCCAACTGTGGGGCTGTGTTGTTCTCAGACTTTTGGGGCTTTATCAGTTGATTTAGGTACTCTTGTTAGCATCCTTCTCTTGGGGTTACAGTCACTGCCTTTTGGTGGCCTCAGTGGAGACAGCTCACTTCAGAACCTCATACTGGCATGAAGTCAATGTTTTTGATGGTGGGACACATGGAAGTCCAAGACCAAGGCCCTGTGGAAACAGAGGTATTTCTAGCAGTTTAAAGGCAAAGAAGGATGTGTGTATAATACAGCTAGCAACAGGCATTTCAGAATCAACTATGCCACATGAGAAATGGAATACTGACTCTAATGAGGAATCTACTAATTACCTACTTCCCATGAGTGGTGGGCCTCACTGTTGTTCTCTGGAACCATTGTTCATATTCTGTTTCATCTACGTTGGTCTGCATGTTGGCTCAAGGTTAAGGTGCTTTGATAATAGATGCTGATTGACATGTGAACTTAAAGTAGTACTGACTTAATTTATTAAGCTTTTACTTCTATAGATAAATAACGAGACCAATAATCTTCCAGCAGGGTTTTTAGGAAGCCAAATATATAGAAACTATAAAATTCCTTTTTAAAATTAATTAATTAATTATTTTAACATCTGACCACAGTTGCCTCTCCCTCCTCTCCTCCCTGTCCCCTCCACATACTTCTGCTCCCCACTCATCCACTCCTCTTTTGTTTCTCTTCAGAAAAGGGCAGGCCTCACATGGATAGCAACCAAACATGGCATATCAGGTTGGTAGTAAGACTAGGAACAGTCTCTCCTATTAAGGTTATTAAGGGAACCCGGTAGGAGAAAAGGGACCCAAAAGCAGGCAACAGAGTCAGAGATAGCTCCTGCTACCACTGTTAGAGATCCCACAAGAAGACCGAGCTACACAATGGTAACATATATGCAGAAAGGTCTAGGTCAGTTCCGTGTAGACTCCCTGGTTGATGGTTCAGTCACTGTGAGGCCCTATGGACCCAGGCTAGTTGATTCTCTGGGTTTTCTTGTGGTTGTCCTTGACCCCTCTGGCTCCCACAATTCTTCTTCCTCCTCTTCTGCAGCATTCCCTGAGCTCCACCTAATGTTTGACTGTGAGTCTCTGCAACTGTTTCCATCAGTGCCTGGATGAAGCCTTTCTGAGGACAGTAAATGTAGACTTCTTAACAAGCTCGTAGCATGTAATAGGTGCTAGTAAAGTAGGGATGTAGGCTCTTGAATGTAGCATTTTGTGAAACCCCGGGAACTTGGGAAAGGACACTCTACGTAGCCTCCTTGCTGTCCCTCCCCCACTCTCACTGCCTGCTCGTGTCCCCGATGAAAGCAAGTCCTTGCTTTCTTTTTTTAATTTAGTCTTCTTTTGTGTATTACATCCTGACTGCAGTTTCCCAGTCCTTCTCTCTCCCCTTCCCCCCAGATCCGCTCCTCCCCAGCTTCCCTTCAGAAAAGAGCAGGCCTCCCAGGAATATCAACCAAACATAGAAACCAAACTATTAGAAACCCTGGTAGAAAAGGCAGTCATTCAGGCACATGACCAAGGATCTGGGAGCAGACATGTTCACTGTCAGCAGAGAGAACAAACACCGCTACAGAAGAGTCAAGAAGACAGCTTGGGGCACCAGAGGCAAACAGCTCTTCCCACCCTTCCTCCAGACTCTCATTCCATCTCAAAGGACTTAAGAGGCAAAGATGCTCAACTCAGTTTTCTCATGCCCCCTCAGGATGGTGGGCATTCCTCAGTCTTCCTTACTCCCAGGCTATTATAAGGCATGTGATTTGAATATGCATTGCCTTCCATGGCCTCAGACGGGTGTTTTAGATCTTATTTGTAAACAGATTGCCTTATGAGGATGTTGTCAGACCAACTGAAGTTAAAGTATGGGAACTAGGCAGCATTTCTTAGGAAGAAGAGAAACTGGCAGCTTTCAGGTGGCGTTACAGTTATACTATCATATCATGTGGATTGAGTGTGGTTGAGAAGGTAGTGCACAGAGGCTAGGAACACCAAGCCTGATTTGCTCAGTGAAGGCCAGTTCTGTGAGACTTGGCATGGGCAGTAATCAGTCAACCGTACACAGAGCTACCTTTGATGTCCTCCTTTCCGGGTCAGAGGCCACCATTTTCCTTGCTATCAAGCTTCTGCAATGCTTCTCACTTGTGCTTTTTTAACTTTTGGGAGCTGGGAGCTGGGTCTGTTTACTGTGCTTTGAGCCCTGTAGTTCTAGACCAAGTGATTTCCAGTAGAATGACTCAACGCCTGTCAATATTTTCTTAGCGAGGAGTGAAGAGTTGGGGCATGTAAGACTGGATAGCACAGTTTCTTTATTAGGCATGGTGGCAAGATCCTTTGTTGCGCTGTAGTCATGAGACTGCAGTATTTACTTTTTACGTTCATTAATTCCACGCTGGATATTGAACGCAGGCATCATTCATGTTAAGCAAGCTCCTTTATCACTGAACTACAGTCCCAGTGAAGCTTTATTTCATTTTATATTATTTTTTATTTGAAACAAAGTCTTGCTAAATTGCCCAAGTTAGCCCTGAACACACTCTGTGGCTTAGACAGATCTAAAATCAGTGATTTCCCTGCCTCAGTTGTCTGAGTAGTTGGAGTTGCAGCCCTTAGTTTCCAGGCCCAGCTGGAAGCAGTATTGAAAAGGCTGAGGACATAGCTGGTATCACCAATTCTGTTCACCTTGGGGCTGGGGTGGAGGGACCGCAGGGGCTTTCTGGACATGGTCTCATCTAGGGTGATTCTTGAAGGATGATAAGACTACATTAGACGTAACAGTTGGATAGGATAGGTGATTCTGATTGGTCCTGGCTTGTTGGAGAGTGGAAGTGGTCTCGTGGTCAGATATGAATGGTGGACAAATGTGTGGGTGAAAGAAGCTAGAAGAACTAGAATGCATCCAAGAAGCTAGACTCTTTTTCTTTTTCTTTTTCTGTTTTTTGTCAAGCCACAAGGAAGTACCAAATGATTTTCTTTTCTTTATTTCTTAGAGCAGTCCTATGGCAACTATGTACAACTGGGATAGATAGTTCAATGGAGTTGTTGTAGCTGTTTGGGTGAGAGATGGAGAGAAACGAATGAGGCAAAAGATAAAGGACAGAGCATGACAGATCTGTAGATCATTAGAAAGACACTGTAGTGTTGATTAGGGACACAGAAATCCCCAACAATGCATACAGAGCATATGGGTGACCTGAGCAAAGATTCTCAGTGTGGTCCTCATGTGTGTGCTTATTGTTTTTTCCCTCCAGGATCCCCAGGAAAAGGGACTTTTAGTACACTAAATTACTCTTAGTTCTCACATAGTGCCTAGCAAACAACCTCTAAAATGAACAAATAAAGAAAAGTGAGTGAATGAGTTAACAAAATGTGAATTGTTAAATAAAGACTAAATAATGAGGGAGGAGTGGATGAGAAAAACAAATCAGTAAATAAATTAATGAATAAGTGAAGTGGTTAGAACTCCAGGTGCTAAGCAGAAAGAAAGAGAGTGGAAGGAAGGAAGGAAGGAAGGAAGGAAGGAAGGAAGGAAGGAAGGA